TTTAATCCCAGCATTCAGGAGGCAGAGACAAGTGGATCTCTGTGAGTTAGGGACCAGCCTGTTCTACAGAGTGAGTTCTAGGACAGCTAGGGATGTTACATAGAGAAACCCTAGATTGCCTAAGGTAAGTTTCTTCTTATTTGTGTGTATGTGTATATATATGTCTATGTCCATGTGGGTGCAGGTCTGTGTGTAACACATATGTGGAAATCAAATACCAAATGCTGTTCCTTAAGACTACTATTCACTTTATTTCATCTTTTACTTACTTATTTTTTCAAGACAGGGATTCTCTGTGTAACCCTGGCTGTCTTAGAACTTGCTCTGTAGACCAGGCTGACCTGGAACTCAGAGATCCACATGTCTCTGCCTCCACAGTGCTGGGATTAAAGGCATGAACCACCACCACACATCTTGTTTCATCTTTTAATTTTTAAATTACATTTTATCGTGTGTGTGTGTGTGTGTGTGTGTGTGTGTGTGTGCGCTTGTGTGTGTGGTGTGTGTGTGTGTTCACTCCCTTGAGAGCACATGTGTATCTGTGTGTGCGCCATGGCCCATAAGTTTGAGAACAGCTCTCAGGAGTTGGTCCCCCCTTCTCCTATCTCATGGGCACAGGAGACTGAACTCAGGCTCTCCGGCTTGGCAACAAGTTCATTGACCTGCTGAACTCTTGACAATCTCTACCTTGTTTTTTGAGACAGGGCCTCTAACTAGGATCTAGGCTTGCCAATTAGTATAGACTAGCTGGTTGGAGACCTGGAGACCTTGTTTCTGCCTCATAGTTACCAGCCTCTGCTTCTTAAGTGATGGTATTGAAGGTGTACACCAATATGTATGACTTTGATTTACTTAAATTTTTTTTTTTTTGTTTTTTTTGAGACAGGGTTTCTCTGTGTAGCTGTGGAGCCTATCCTGGCACTCGCTCTGGAGACTATGCTGGCCCCGAACTCACAGAGATCCGCCTGCCTCTGCCTCCCGAGTGCTGGGATTAAAGGCGTTTGCCACCAATGCCCGGCTTACTTAAATTTGTTTGAGTTTTTCTTTTCTGAGACAGGGTTTCTTTGTGTGACAATCCTGACTGTCCTGGAACTTGCTCTCTAGCTCACTGAAATCCACCTGCCTCTGCCTCCCAAGTGCTGGGATTAAAGGCATGTGCAACCACCACCTGGCTTGAGATTTATTTTTATTTTATGTTATATAGGTGTTTTGCCTGCATGTATGTCTGTGCACCACATACACGTGGTCTTAATGAGTCCAGAAGAAAAGATCAGATCCTCTTGAAACTGTCCTTCACTGGATTTTGACAGAGATCACAAGTGGTCTACCTGATTGTTTTATATTATTAGTATTAGTATTATTGCTAGAGTATGGGCACATGGCATGAGTACATGGCACATGGCACAGGATGCATGAGCACATCAGAAGACACTCTTCACCATAGATTCCGGGGGGATAGAACCCAGGTTATCAGATTTATCTGGTAGCATCTTGCCAGCTCTACTTGATAGTGTTTTTGTCTTCATTTCTTGAGACAGGGTCTGTGTTGTCCTGGAACTGATTATGTAGATCAGGCTGGCCTCAAACTCACAGCATTCTGACTCCTTCTGTCCCCCAATTACTGGAATTAACTATATGTGCCACCACACCCAGCAGACCTGATTGCTTTTAATGTCAGCTACATTGTTTTTTATTGTTAAGTCCAGCAGATAAGGATTGAGTTAAATACTTAAATATGAAATTCAAAACATCGCCAGGCATTGGTGGCACACGCCTTTAATCCCAGCACTCGGGAGGCAGAGGCAGGCGGATCTCTGTGAGTTCGAGGCCAGCTTGGTTTCCCCCTAGGGCCAGGTGAGGGGTAGGGCCAGCTTTCCCACTCTCCCATGTCCATACCTCTGGGGTCCCGCACCATCTGGGCAAGGGATGGGGCCAGCTCTCCCTCCCCCATACCGTTGCATCCGGTTCTTCTGCACTCACACCTCCAAGGCCAGCTCTCCTACTCTGCCCAGGTGAGGGACAGGGCACTCTCCCAAGTGTGTCAGCAGGCAAGAGGTGTGGCCAGCTCACCCACACCCACCCCTTTGGCCAGCTATCCCAAGCCCACTCCCAGGCTGGCACTACCATGTGGTGACTATAGAGGGTGGAGCCGGCTTGGAGGGGCCTGCAGACAACAATACGGCTTCCAGCTGCAGTACAGACCCCAGACATCCTCAAAGACTTCAGTGGTAGTACAGGCTACTGACATCAGCCCAGACCCTGGGGGTTCATCAGGATCATAAACCCAGACATGGCCATCAGCCGCAGCAGGGGTTCAGACATCACCACGGTATCAGGTGGCTGTGCAGAGCTCTCACATCAGGAATTCCTCACCGATGAAGCGCCTCTGGTTCCACCTCTCTTCATAGTGCTGACAGCTCATCTTTTCTTTTTGCCAGTGGCCGTGTCAGAGGGGCAGCAGGTGGCAGCTGATTTCAGGGGATCTGCCCACTCGAATTCGAAAATCTCTGATAGGCAAGAAGTAGAGGGCTTCGGCCCTAGAATGACTCTTGTTACTTCTGTGCCTTTACTTGTTTGCTGCTGCCATTTTTCTCTGGTATCTGGCATGGTGTGAATGGGTGTGGGGGGATCCCCGCTACCTTTAATGTACTATGATTGTCTCATGGAAATATCCTGTTCTAGTGGGCATTTTTACCTGTGAATTATTATGAAGATGATTTCCTCCTAAGCTGTACTGTTTAACTGAAGCAATGATTTTATATAATAATAGTGTTGGTTTAAATAGGATTTTGCTGATTGAGGGCCTTTAATAAATATAGTAAGGGATTATGATAAAGGTTAGCTTAGTGGGAAAATTAATATAGGTAAAAAGCAACATAGGGTGTTGTCCCAGCCCCTGATAAAGCAGGGCCTGTAGAAGATAGAAAATAACAAGGAAATGTCACACAGCTAATTTCTCTTGAGGAGCCACATAGACTGTGGTTTAGGTTAATTATTAAAAAAAACAGCTGGGCAGTGGTGGCACACTCCTGCCACCCAACACTCAAGAGGCAGAGACAGGTGGATCTCTGTGACCTGGAAACCACCCTGAGTTACATGACAGCCAGAGCTACATAGAGAAACCATATCTTTTTGTTGTTGTTGTTCTTGGTTTTGGTGTTTTGAGACAGGGTTTCTCTGTGTAGCTTTGTAGACCAGGCTGGCCTCGAACTTAGAAACCCTAACGCCTGGCTTAGAAATGCTGTCTTTAAAAAAAAAAAAGAAGAAGAAGAAGAAGAAGAAGAAGAAGAAGAAGAAGAAGAAAGAAAGAAAGGGAGAGAGAGAGAGAGAGAGAGAGAGAGAGAGAGAGAGAGAGAGAAACAATCAAGTCCCAGTAGCTCAGCTAGCTCAAGTTCTTTTAATCTTAATATTGAGAGATGTGTTCACAGGTTTTGGTGTGCCTCATTGCTGAAAAAAAGCTTTAAAAAATAACTTAGGCCAGGAAGTGGTGGTGCAGGTCTTTAATCCCTCAATTGGGAGGCAGAGGCAGATGGATCTCTGTGAGTTTGAGACCAGCCTGCTCTACAGACTGAGTTCCAGGACAGGCTCCAAAAGCTACACAGGGAAACCCTGTCTCAAAAAAACAAAAAACAAAACAAAAACCTTAAGGTTAGATTAAGATGTTTTTGTTAATAGCCTACCAAATACTGGAATTAAAAGTGTGTGCCACCACCGCCCAGACCTTTTTGACTTTTTATAGCCCTTCTTTAACATTTGTGCGCAAACACACACACACACACACACACACACACACACACACACACAGAGTTCTAATTTGCTTTCTCTTGTTGTAATAAACACCATGACCCAAAGCAACTTTGGAGGAAAGGGTTTATTTGGTTTACGGGTTACAGTCCATCACTCAAGGAAAATAAGGCAGGAACCTAAGGAGAAACGTGCATGCAGAAACTGAAGCAGAAACCATGGAAGAGTGATGCTTACTGGCTTGATTCCTCTGGCTTGTTCAGTTACCTTTCTTATACAACCCAGGACCACCTGCACAGGAAAGCTACCACACATAGTGGTAGCTTCATCAACTAATAACCAAGAAAATGCCCCATAGACAAAACCATAAGCCAGTCCAGTTCCTTAATTGAGGTGCACTCTTTCTGTTGTGTCAAGTTGACAACTGATGTTTGACATGTACGTAGACATAATCGCTGTGTGATGTGTATATAATGTGTGACCTGGGCGATATAATTAGTAGTTAATTGGAATAAAAGAATTTTGCTTGGGTTGGAGGCAGTTCGGTGGGTAGAGTGCTCGGCCAGCATGCAGGAAACTCCATTTTCAGCTCCCCCAGCCGCCAACAGGTGTAGTGACACCCTGCTCAGGAGGTGGAGGCTTTTGGACCACAGCTTCTAAGCTAAGTAACAAACTCCAGGCCAACCTCGGATACTTGGGACTCTATCCAAAAACAAGCAAACCAAAACCCGGGTGCTTGCCAAATTACCACTACCTGGCAGATTGTAGCTGATGAAATTAACTTGTGAATTTATTGTCACTCAACAAATCCTGCAATTGTGAAATGACACAAATGTGTTTCTTCTGTAGCGTGCTCATGAGAATGGTTTACTTTGCTTCCGGCAGTGAGGACAAGAAGGACTCAGGTTGTTTAGGCCGCGGCTAGGGGATAGCCATCTCAGGTTCTGGTGAGTCCAAACTCACAAGGTCGCCTGGCACCCTACATGGAAACTGCGCAGGCGCGGAATGGTGCATAGCAAGGGCACTTTAAACCCAATGACTAGGGACCTTTGCCTTGGGCAGCATCACCGCGCAGGCGGTTTCTCTCTGTGTGGCTGGTCTACTATGAGGTGCGCAGGCGCACACCGTGCAAATCTAGGGTTTGGGATCCGTGGTGGTGGTGGTGGTGGTGGGGTTACCGAACTGTGTAAGGGGGCAGAGGCCTCGCAGCACCGCGCAGGCGCACTTCCGCTTTCGTGCCGGTACGCAAACGCTGACCAGTGCGCAAGTGAGCGCATGCGCGGGCTTGAGGCGCGATGGCAGGTGTAGGGGTCGAGCGGCTGCAGGCGATGGTGCGATTTACGCTGCTGGTGCTCACTGTGTGTGCTGCGGGTGCCCATGGGCTCTATTTCCACATCGGCGAGACTGAGAAGCGTTGCTTCATCGAGGAAATACCCGACGAGACCATGGTCATCGGTCAGGGGGCTGAGGGTGGAGAGGCCCTTTGTTTTCGCCTGGCCCTCGGAAGCGCCCCTCCTCCCCTGTCAGCTCGCCCCCATCCTGAGGGTGCCTTGAGGGCGCCAGGTCCCCTGCCCAGCGCCCCGGGGCCGCTTGTTGGGGGCCCGGTCGTGACTGTATGTCTGCCCCGCAGGCAACTATCGAACCCAGATGTGGGACAAGCAGAAGGAGGTCTTCCTGCCCTCGACCCCTGGCCTGGGCATGCACGTAGAAGTGAAGGACCCGGACGGCAAGGTAAGCCCCCCATCCGGAAGGCACTAGCGGGTGTCAGCTGCCCATTACTGCCCTTATGGGATGTAAATACCTCCTTGGTCCTGAGAAAAGGTCCCTAGGTATCAGATCTTGCATTTTGAGAGGTCCTTGTAAAGTTGGGGCCTAATGCATATTGCAGGTGGTACTGTCCCGACAATATGGTTCCGAGGGCCGCTTCACCTTCACGTCCCACACACCCGGTGACCATCAGATTTGTCTGCACTCCAACTCCACCAGGATGGCTCTCTTCGCTGGAGGAAAACTGGTAAGAAGCTCAGGCTTAAAGTTTTTCACTTGATTCCAAGGTTCACTTATTGCCTTTTTCTTTTAATTTTGACTTTTTGGGGGAGCAGGTGGGCACAGTCAGAACTGGGGAGACCAGGCTTGCCCTGCTGCCTCAGCCGGAGATAAGAACGGATTCCATGACGGTAACTGTAGGCGGCACCCACTCATTCATTCCTGTTTCCTTGTAGCGTGTACACCTGGACATCCAGGTTGGGGAGCATGCCAACAACTACCCTGAGATTGCTGCTAAGGATAAGTTAACAGAGCTGCAGCTTCGAGCTCGACAGTTGCTTGATCAAGTGGAACAGATCCAGAAGGAGCAGGATTATCAGAGGGTAAGGGCATCATCTATCTCTTTTCACTTGGAGGCTGCGATTGACCTTTGAACCCACCGTGCAACGTTTCTGTTTGGGGCCTTCCCTACCTGCTAGATCAGTTTTTCAGAGAATGAATTAGAAGGTATCAGTCTACATAAGTGAGGTTTGTTTTTTCTTTTGTTTTTTGGCACTTTGTGTTCATGTCTGCAGTGCTGAAGATTGAACCTCACCTGAATGTTAGTCAAGATCTCTACCACTGAGCCACACCTTCAGTCCGTGTGTGCACTCTCGCGTTTTCTTTTTTTAAATCCCACACCACCGTATATTTTCCATCCAAGTACTGTTCCTGCTTAGCTTCTGTGGTCAGATCTCAAGGGTTCAGGGTGGTATGGCAGTGGACCCTTTAATTTTTTTTAATTGTTATGAAATACATATAAAAACCTAGCATTTTAACTGTTTCTAAGCGTATAATACCATGACATTAAGTAGATTCATATTGTGTTGCCACCATCCTGCCTTCTGTCTGCCTAACTTTCACCTTTCCAGAGAATCTGAACCCATCAAACACTCCACTTCCCTAGTTGCAGCTTTGACATTTTGGTCTGTGATCCTGATTAGTGTTAAACACTGACTCACCATTTCCCTTCCCGTGTTGCTGTTGTACTTTTTTTGCCGATGGTCTTGACCACTGTAACTCAACTCAGTGGAATCCTTTTGTGACTGTCCTAGTTCACTTACAGTGTGTATCTAGGATTCATCTGTATTGTAGTGTGTCAGAACTCTCTGCTTTACACATTTATTTATTTATTTTTGTGGTGCTAGAAATTGAACATCATATAGGTTAGACAAGGGCTCTGAACTACATCAGATTTGTTTTCTTATTAGTAATATATATATATATATATATATATATATATATATATATTTTTTTGTCTCTGTGTTATCTCAGACTTC